CCCCAAAACCCCAAAACCCCAAAACCCCTTAATGCAATTCTTGAAAAAAATAAGCAAATTAAAGTTAGGCTTAATCCAAATATAGAGTAGATATTAAGAATAATGCTTGTCAATGCTTTTTAAGTCCTCCTGTGCTGTGCCCTCTAGGTGTGCCACTTTTTGATCTACTGCCATTTTTACTCCTAGATCTTTTTTGTTTTCTAATCTTTTTGGCAAGCAATTTTCCTCTTTTAAAGTCCTTTGCTGCATCTGAAAACTCATCCATAGATGTTTTATTATAAACCCAAATGTCGTGATCGAAACATCTCTCTAGTGTAATTGCTTTCTTAGCAGCTCTTGGGGTGTTTGAGTTGTCTAATAAAGGCTTAGTGTCATCAAGCAATTTCAAACTAAAATTGTTAGGATCCCATTTCAAATGGTTCTTGGCTATGTTTGCCTCAATTTTAATAGCCCCAGTTGCATCCTTTACTCTAGTCTTAGTTATAATAGTACCTCTATCACCGCTTAACATAGCCTTTTTGAGATTCTCATCGTAAACATCTTTTTCTTAACCAACTGGTGTTTTAAAGTAACTGCTGGCAGTTTTTGTATAATTGAACTTTATGTTTTTCTCTAGTGCTCTCTGCGGGAATAATATTTGGTATTTTTATCTCGAGTCTAGAAACTTTTCTCCTGCTTCCTTAGTCTTAAATGGCTCGAAAACTTCTTTTTCATTAAGTGATGGCAAGAAAGACTATTTCTTTTCCATCTTAGAGAACTTAAAGCTATTTGCCTTTTTTTCTTCGTCCTTAAGTCTCTTTCTTTCTTCCTCGTTTTGCTTTTTCAAATCCTTGTACTCATCTTTCTTTGCTCTTAAAGCTTGCATAGCATCTAAGAATTCCTATTTTGCTGATTTCATTATAACATGAACATCATCTGTTGTTCTCTCAGTTCCTGAGACCTTTTTAAACATATTTATTTTATTTTATAATTCAACTAAATCAATTTAGATTGATCATTAGGGGTTTTGGGGTTTTGGGGTTTTGGGGAGATCGGA